GAGGAGGAGCGGGCCGTGTCTGAACGCGGACGCCGGAGAAAGGCCGCCGCTCTCCGGGCAACCCCAGAGAGCCTCCAGGTCGAGCCCTGCCGTGCCCGCCGAGGGTGGCAGCCCAGACGGGGTGGCTCTAGTTAAACCAGGATGGACGGACGGATAGATAGGGAGGTGGATGGAGAGGTGGACAGACAGACAGGCCTTCCAGTCAGTCTTGACCCCTGGCGACTGCCCGGACCGACCCCTGCGGTTTCTTGGCAAGATCCGGACGGGGCCTGCCGTGGCCGCCCCTTTCCTGGGGCTGAGGGGGGCTGGCCCCCGGTCGCCCCGCCGGCCTCGCGCCCCAGGCCACGCTAGAGCTCAGGCCTCCCTGTCCTGACCGCCGCCCCGGACCGGTCCTGGTCAAGTAGGATCGGCGCCATCAAGAGCGCCTCAGGAGGAAGTCAGTTGGTCACCTTTGGACATTCAGGGGCATCTCGCTATGAGCACCGGCCAGCGTTGGCTGGGCTGGAGGAGCTGAAACGCCAAAGAGCTGGAGGGGCTTCTGGAAAAAGACGATAAAGGGCTGCAAAAGCTGTAAATCACACACCCAGGCACCCCCATCGCTTGGGAGGTCTTTACCTGGAAGGAAAATCCTGTTGCCATTCAGAATGGTCCCAGTTCATATTTATAAAAGGTATTCATTAACCTCATTTGCAACACAAAACCGGAACGGATTCAATCGTTCTGTCTTCAAAAGAGAGGAGATAAGAATATTAACACTGATTCATAGTTGACCCGGATAGAACAGAAAACTTGCTTTACGGTTCCATTCAGAAAGTACCCTATTCAATCCTTGGATGGGGCAGGGGGAACGGGGAGGTTACTTTTGCTTTTGTGTCCCTCGCTCTGGAGATAATGTGGAGTATCTCTGTCCAAAGCCTGGAGAGTTTCTAGCAAGTGAGTTCACACAACATAGCCACATTATGCTTGGCCACATCTCAGGTGGTAGGGTGGAAGGCTGGAGATCCCAAGCTGCCTATTGCAGAAGCCCTCTGACTTTTTTCCTTTGTTTAAAGCATGCTGGAAAACATGTCATGGAGGGTAGCAATTGTATATGTCTATTCCAGGATAGCCTCTTATAAAGGATAGAAGAGGTGGGGAGATATGTTGATAAAATCTGCAGGACACATTTCATACCACAGCCTCATACCTGCCCTTTAGCAGAGAGCCATCTTTGTATTAATTCTCCAGAGTAATGAACAAGCAGAATTGCAACTTACCTGTTTTGTTTTAATTTGCTATCTGTGAAGTTGTTTCCTGTTTCCTGTTATATTATTTCCTGTTCCATTTTAATGTATGCTGCCCAGAGTCTTTATGAAGTCAGGCAGCCTTACATATTTGACAAATAAATAAATGTATACTCCAAAGAAAAAATTATAATAACATCACTTATGAATCATGGCAAATGGACAAGGGTTTGACTGAGGTCAGATTTGAAGAGATCAGTTTTCTGCCTCAACTGATGGAGTGGGGGGAAAATGAGGATTGGCTTGTTTTGAGGTGTACGTACATACATATACATTCAAGCCAATTATAGCATCCTGGAGATACTGACACCCATCTGCTTTTGTGCAGATACTGCCAAGACCACATACGGTTCCAACATCCAGAGATACAAACTGCTGCATTACTGAAGATTTTTTGTTACCTGCTGCAGCTTTTGCCCTTACAGCTGCCCTTTTCTCTGACTGAGCACAGGTTAAAAAGTGGCAAATGATTCCTTATTTGAGGCCATTGTGTCTCAAATGCAATTACTTTCTATTCCCTTAAATATAATCGAATCAACAGTTAGCAGCTCCTGACAGCTAAAGCTACTACAACGGATGTTTCACACATTCAGAAGCAGATATAAATTGACAGAGAAGCATTCAGGGCGAGATACCCCACTGGCATTCCCCGGTGGCAGTAAAAAGCAGAACACATGCTTGATCCTAAGTCCTGTAGTTCAGGCTAATTATTAACAAGGCTTCTGTAGTCACAAGCTTTTTACCGAAGCTTTGATAAGACACTTCAGGGACGAGGGGCGAATGAAGACAAGCTATGCAGCAGGAATCCAGGGATCAATTTTCAGCAAAAAAGAAATGTGACTTTTAGCATCTGCTCCAGAAGTATACAATGGCTTGCTGGCATCTGGAAGGACCTGTAGCTTTATGGGCTTTCGTTTTCATACAGTCCATTCCTGGATTTCACAGGAATGGCAGTTCTGTGTGGGAAAAGGACCCCAATTTAAGTCCTGTGAATGAAACGCAGTTGTTTCTGTATGACACGTTTCCTCCAGATTTCCTCTGGGGAGCGGGGACCAGTGCGTTTCAGGTGGAGGGGAGTCAGCACAACGATGGAAAGGGTCCCTCAATATGGGAACACTTCCTTCCTTCATACCTCCAGGATGCTTCCAGAATGGAGGACTCGAATGACAGCTACACTTTTCTGGAAAAAGACTTAACTGCTCTGAGTTTTTTGAAAGTTTCTTCCTACCACTTTTCCATTTCATGGCCAAGGCTATTTCCTACTGGGATGGTAACGGCTGTCAATGAAAAAGGACTCAGCTACTACAACCGTCTCATAGACGCTCTCATCCACAGACATATTGAGCCTATAGTCACTCTCTACCACTGGGATTTGCCTTGGGCATTGCAAGAAAAATATGGGGGCTGGGAAAATGACTCCCTCATTGCTATTTTCAATGATTATGCCACTTTTTGCTTCCAAGTCTTTGGAGATCGTGTGAAGTACTGGATTACAATCCACAATCCTTATCTAATTGCTTGGCATGGGTATGGCACAGGGCTTCATGCTCCCGGAGAGAGGCGTGAAGACGCCGTCTACGTGGTAGGACATAACCTGATCAAGGTATGGCAGAGGAAAATTTTGCTTTAAGAGGGAAACTATTACTGCAGCAAATAATAGTAGGAAAGGAAGTTATAAGAATGAAAGGTGATAGTAGGAAGAGGACAGGTAATGCTTCTATACAATCTTTGCACATGAAATGTATTTCTTGCTTTCTTACAGAAATTTTAACAGTGCTATATTTTAGTTGGAATACATCCCTGATTCTTGTTTGTCTACTGAAAATTTTGCATTTTCCTTTTGTCCTTTCATAATCAGAACTCTAGAAATGTTGAGATTATTTGATGAGCCCAAAAAACATAACTGATCTTTCTAGAATCCCAGTTCAAGGAACACATAATTCCGGGGTGATAAAATCTCATTGCAGATTGTGGCCACTCTGCTAATCTCACACATTCTTGTTAATTGTTTGAAGATAAACATGTCAATATTTAAGAACTTCAATATGACGTCAAGCTTGTTCTGCTTCCAGGTATTTCTTTCATTTAAGGTATTTCCCTCTCACTTGAATTGTACTCCCCAAAGATGTTACTTTCTGTGTCTGAATGTTTATAAAATCAGAGTGCTAATTCAAAGATTGCATCAAACCCACATAGTCTGCATTTTTTTAGGTTTCTCTGTTGCTTAGTAGAATGGAAGCATGGTGCCATCACACTGACATGGCATCATATGTGAACAGAGGTGCTGTATCAGGATAACCTTTGTTCTGTTCAAGGTAGCTTTTATTACAGATAATCAATACTGCTTCCAATCAGAACTGAATTCTTTCCGAAACTTATACTTCCCTAGATAACTTAGTCCCTTAGAAGAGAAAGAATAACCACACTCTAAAGAGATGTTGCAGATTTTTGTATTGCAATTAGATCTCATACATGAATCCCATCCTGCCTGCCACTCACCAATTAAAACTAATTTATTTATTTTATATTTCAAATTTAGTCACCGCCCAGTTCACTCAGGGAGTGACTCTGGGCGGTATACAATATATACTTTAGATCTGAAGGTTAAAACTACTCATCTTCTACCTTGCATGCTTCACCAAAATTGAACCTCTGGCACAAGAATACAAACAATATCACAACTGGAGCTGTCATGTTCCCTTTTTCACACTCTTTTTCCCACCCCAGATTGGTAGTTTGGACTGTAGAACTAAAGTGCTGATGATGCTGGAGACAGTCATACTCCTAAAAGGTTGACAGAGTAGAGAGTCTTGAAAGAAGTCTAAAACATAGTTATTCCATTCTCCTTTAGCCTTTAAATCAGTCTTCAAAACAGAGAAGTAGCATGCACTTGGAAAAAAATTGTAGCCTGTCTGTATAGATATGGATGTTTTCTCTAATGCTGATGTGTAAGATTCAGAAACAAAATCTACCTGTCATCCAGGTGATGGAAGAATTTCAGGAACAGTCCCTAGAAAAGATTCTTCCATGTGGCTGAACAAAAAGTACATGTGAAGGAGGTAGGGGCTGGTTAGCTTTCATCTGCATGTTCATTATTCAGTGGCTGCAACTTCAAAGAATAATGTGCTCATGGGAATCCAAAGTCAACTACGTACCAAAATTGCATATTGTCACATCACCTTCTTTGCATGTGAAGGTGCAAATCATAATGTGCTGTTCATGGGAGGACCACAGATTTTAGCCCCAAAGTGATCCATTTGGACTTACCAGGAGGCATGGAATCGGCCACCATGATTGGTCAGCCATGGTTATGGCCCACCACAGTGCATGAACCGAACATTTTGTATCTAGTTAAGCAAATGCTTAAGTGCTGTGACTACCCTTTCATGATGCCTGGAGGCTGTGGGGCTCTGGATGGGGAACAACAGGCTTCAGCTGAACCCTAGTAAGACGGAGTGGCTCTGGGTTGGAGGCTTCTCTGTATCTGGGAGTTTACCATCTTTGGTTCTCGATGAGGTTGCCCTGCCCCAGACAGACTTGGTACGTAATCTGGGGGTCCTCCTGGACTCACGACTCCTGCTCAAGGAGCAGGCGGCAGTCGTGGCCAGGAGGGTCTTTGCTCAGCTTCATGTTTTGCGCCAGTTACACCCCTTCCTGGATCAGGAGTCCCTCCAGTCTGTCATTCATGCCTTGGTCAACTCTTGTTTAGACTATTGCAGTGCACTCTACATGGGGCTACTCTTGAAGAATATCCAAAAGCTACAACTGGTTTAAAATGTAGCCATGCGGGCACTCTTAGGTGCCCCAAGGATAGCACATGTAACACCTCTGCTGCGGGAGCTGCATTAGGTTCCAGTTTGCTTCCGGGTCCAATTCAGGTGTTGGTTATCACCTTTAAAGCCCTACATGGCATGGGTCCAGGTTACCTGAGAGACCGTCTCACCCCCATTACGTCAACCCATCCCACCTGGTCTGGCAGAGAATGTTACGGATCCCGTCAGCGAGAGAATGTCAACTGGAGGGTCCCAGGAGGAGAGCTTTCTCTGCCGTTGCCCCCACCCTATGGAATATTCTCCCCCCACAGGTGAGGCGGGCCCCTACTCTCCCAATTTTCTGGAAGGAATTGAAGACCTGGCTCTGCCAACTTGCATGGGGCAAGAAGAGATACAACCAACCCTGGGGATGGCTGGTGCCTTAAAGACGCTCCCCAAGTTTATTAACACCTAATTAACATCAGCCTCTTGGAAGTATTATATAGGAAGTTTGTTGTTGTAGTGT